AATCACCACAACAACAATTTTCCAATACATCAGTCAACACAGCTGTTTCTAATAATAATAATAATTTTGAGAATGGACCGCCAATATATTAAAAAAAGAGGAAAAAAATGATGGTGAGATGTGACTGATTAAAAAAATTTTTTTTGCAGCAACTTGTGTATGAAAGTGAAAAAGTTAACAAACAAACACACAAAGATTGACAATTTTCAGGGGCATCACACACAGCAACAAAAAAGAGAAAAATTTCAATTTGTAATATGCGCAAAACAAACAACTACGCAAATATATATTTATTTTAATTTGGCAAAATAATATACAAATTATGTATTCTCGTATATTTTTCGGGGTTCTATTTTAGGGCATTCGACCTCTAGAAGCTTTTATGGGTCTCATGATCGTTCAAGATTCCTATTAGCGTTTACGCATCCCATCAGCATATACTTTACTAGGTGTCGGAAAAAGACAGGATCCGTGATTCCGCATGGGATTTCAGAAGTTTATCCAGGGATCCCAGGTTTTATGCAACGAACTGATTATATGATTAATCGTCTGGATCCCGCGAATGCGATCTTACTGGACTATCAGCACTTACTAATATTTTAGGGATCACATATACTCTGCTGTGGATGCTTAAAATTATCTCATGGGCCACAAAAAGCTCATGGTACGCATGCCCTAAACTAGGGCCTATTTATCTTGTTAATTATATATTTTTTCTTCTTTTTCGCTTATGCACATAACAGAATTTTGTCATTTATTTTCATCAATATATCCAAAATCCACCACCATAAAAATATATATCATTCTATTTAAACCTTATATATATAAATATATTTATTTTTAATATATATTTTTTTCCTTCATTTTTTTTTGCATACCTTGGCCCTAATTATATAAAAAAATTATTTTTTTTTGTGTGTTTTTCCTCTCCATTTTTTCCATATACATATATAAAAATATTTATTTTGCTCTATATTTTATTGTAAACGTCTTGTTGATTAAATAAATTTATTTTTAACAAGACAAAAAAATTTTTTTGTTTATTTAAAATTAAAAAAAAATATGTATTTTTTTTTCTTCTGAGGGATAAATTATGAAATTATTTTTAACAAATTTAATTTTCTCTAAAAAAAGATTTCACATTCTTTTTTTATTTTATTTTTGCCTTATTTTCTCTTAAAAATCATTTAATGTTGAGCAGCTCACCATTGATTTCATATTGTTTTTTACTCGCCTTCCTTTTGTTTTTGACAAAAAATCACGTTCACGTTGAGAATGTTTTCTGTTTTTATCGGGGTACATTCTGTTGGTGCGCGGCAAATTCGATAAGAGCCGGAAAGGATCTGGATTAATCCGGAGAACGGGACCGAATCCGGGTTATCTGGATTGACCCGATCCGGAAACATTCCGGTGATCGAATGTTTTGTGAATTGGAAAAAAAATTGGGACTTGGGATTTGGAAAATTGGATTTGGGACTGGATTTTTGGATTTGGGACACTGACGTAGGAACTATCCGGCCGGGTCTGGGCAGGCGTCGCGCACTGCATACTAACATCTCTGTTTTCCAATTGAGAGATTGAAATTGTATTGTATCACAAGCATTGTATTCTTCTAGTTTTTTTTTGCATTTCATATACTACTATTCTTGCAAAGACAATTGTAATATTTTGAAATTTCCAATCGCAATGTATTTTTTTTTGTTAAATTTATATAGTTTATCCTTCCACAATTTAAATGTTTTTACAAAATTGAAACGAAGAAAAATAAAAATATTTGAATGTTGCTTTTAATGGAAAATTCTTTTACTCCAAGTAATCCTCCGCGTTGTTTATTTTCTTGCTTAAATTCGTCTAAATTAATTGTTTTTACAGGGATTTGTTAGTTTTCCAATTTATAAAAAAATGCGACTTTTCGCTAGTATGCGTTCTTTTGCTTGCGCAAGTTTTCTTTGTGCTAGATACAAAAGTCTTAGTTTTGTTAATTTACAACAACAAAATGAGGAACAGGCTGTAAAGTTGTCTCGAAAGGTTTTTTTAAATTTAATAAAATTATTTTTAAAGAAAATTTAGATTGTTTCAAATGTCGATAAAAGTGGCCTGAGTCTTCGTTTATATCAATATCAGACATGCCCGTATTGTTGTAAGGTCCGTGCTGTTCTTGACTACTTTGGATTTTCTTATGAGGTTGTGGAAGTGAACCCTGTGACTCGTTCGCAAATTAACTTTACTGATTATAAAAAGGTTTGTTTTTGAATTTTGATAGGGTGAAAGTCGGGGGAAAGTGATTCCGGTGGAATTTATCTTTCTGGGTTGATACGGTCTCTAGAAAATCCGTCGGGATCAGTCCGACCCTGGTCCACTAGAAAAAGTCTGGGGTTGAGAGACTTTAACCTTTTAACAGTTAACTCAATTTTCTTCTTTCCTTTTATTGTCTCTGTTTGGTTAAGTGGTCTAAATTTGAGCTGCCTATGAAGGTTTCAATGACTCCGTGTTCCATTGATAATCTTTAATCATTTTGTTGCATCAAATGATGAATGTAGCGCTATCCGATGTTCTTTCGAGAACAAGTGAGCACTGACATAGTCATAGTTACTCTGATGATGCTTTTATAAAATTTCTTTTTTTTTCCCATAAAATAATTTTTGACATTTTAATGCAAAATCTAGGGTTGTTGCTGTACGAGCAATCTTTCCCTTTGGTGGCTCAAATAAAGAACACTAATTTTTTAAATTTTATTTTCAGGTTCCTATTGTTCGAACGCCTTGTTATGATCATCCGCTTATCGAATCTTCTTTAATAATTTCAATTTTGGCGACTTATCTAGTTAAACCTGAGGTTTTATTTTATACAAATTTTATTCAAAATTTGTTGTTGTTTTTAGTTGACATTTTCTGATGCGGTTGAACTCTATCCCAAGCATGTTTCAAAAGATGCAAAGACTGGAAAGGAAGTGACTGACTGGTTAAATAAATATTTTGTTATGTGGGGCGATACAAAACTTGATGATGGACAAATGCGGGATGTTAGGTTATTTTTGAAAATATTCTTGAAATTTAAAATTGGTTGGTAAAATTTCGTCATACACATGCCCCAGAAATAGGTTTGGGCAAACGTCCTTCGAAATGGGGACTTTTATCCGAACCGACCAAGGGCGTATCCAGGGGGGGGGGAATTAAAAAAATTTTCGCCTGCGGCGCTTAAAATATAAAAAGTTATGTACAAAAAAATTTGCCGTAGGAACGCAAGGTAAACGCCAAAAATTTTTGCGCCCACCCAGTGTTAGCCCCCCCCCCCCCGAAACCGACCCCCTGGATACGCCCTTGGAACCGACCTATTTGACCCTAAAATCAGCTCAGTCTCTCGTTTCATTTTTGACCATTATGAGACCATATTCGGCATTAAAATTGAGGCTGGATCTTTATTTTGGTGTCATCGACCAAAATAAAAATTGGTGTCATCGAACTCTCACGAATTTCACATACTTTCACGAAATTGGGATATGACGGAATTTTTCCAAATTGTTTTATAGAGACGAACGTGAATGGCGCGAATGGGTCGACACTCATTTTGTTCATTTAATCTCTCCAAATGTTTATCGCACTTGGTCCGATTCATTGGCAACATTTCGTTGGTTTGAACAGGTTGGTGAATGGGAACGCAATTTTCCAACGTGGGAGAGAGTTTTGGCTGTTTATGTAGGTGCTGCAGCAATGTGGGGGATTTCGAAGAGATTGAAAAAGCGGTTTGTTCTTTGACTATTTTTTGAGGGGTGAGGGACAAAACCCCCGACTTCCAAAAACACTGTCCAGACAAAACCTCAACCCAAGGATTGTTTGTTTTGTTCCAGAAGGATTGTTCAACACTGATGTGAGAAAAGTTTTTCCAATAATGGGGAACATTGTCCTCAATGGAATAACCTTCCTTGTAGTTGGAAACACAACCCTCTGTAAAAAATCAAAAACATCCTTCACGCCAAAATAGCCCCAACCTATTGAAACGCATTATTTTTTCTTTGGGCGGTGTTCGGGCGGCGGGGATTTTAGGTTTACCTGACACGGGTTTGGGAGTAGATTTCTTTTAAAAAATCCTTTTTAAAATTTACGAGGTATCCAAAGTCAATAAATTATAGGCATCATATTGTTGACGAACGCGAGGAGATGCGGAAAGCTTTTGACAAATTTATGAAAGCAAAAGGACCAGAAAGGAAATTTATGGGAGGTGAACAGCCTAATTTGGGTATTTTTTTAAATTTATAATTTTCTTATTTTTGTTTAAATTCAAAGCTGATTTGGCACTTTTTGGGGCTTGTAATTCCTTTTATGGCTGTATTGCATTTTCTGAAATGTGTCAATATGACAAACGACTTGTTGAATGGTTTGAAGCAATGAATTTGGCTGTTAAAGAAGCGAGAGGAAAGAAATTGCTTGAAGCAAAATGTAAATTTGTAAAAGAAGGGAAATAAAATTTTGAAAGTTAGTTTTTTAAAGACTTTAGTTTATTTTAATTAGAATAAGTGTTCGGCAAATGGTTTTTTTCGAGTTGGTTTCGGGTTCCTTGTTTGGCAATATAACCGGATCGGATATTTCTGGGTTAATCCGGTCTGGAAATAGTCTAGAGATCACGAAAAAACACGGATTTGGGATAGGATAGTTCTTGGCAGGTTAACCCCGCCCGGTTAACTTTGCCCTGCAGCTGGGCAAAAAGAGAAGAGAGAATAGAAAAGAGAAAGAAAGACCCGGAACAAGGAAAAGCTAACCGGGCGGTTAACAGGCCACGAACTGCCCTAATTTAGGACACGATCTCTGAAAAAAATTCGATTGGACCCGGTCAGGTTCTGAACACTAATTATGACATCGTCAATTATTTCATCCTTTCCTCCATCTTCTGGCTTTAATCCTTCAAAAAATTCAGGAAAAACAACAAAAGTTGTTGGTTGCCAAATTGGGTGTTTAAGACCATAATGCTTCTCCAAAAAGTGAAGTAATGAAGATGATGGCTTGTCAAATGCACATTTCTGCGGTGTTGTTGACTCTGACTGTAAAAATAATTTATGAAAAAATACTAAAATTTTTTTTAGAAAACCTTCAACATTCCATTAAACAATTCAAGTCCACAACCGTGATGCTGAACAGAAGAATGAATGTAAAAATCCAAAACACAAATAGGCGTGTGAACATAACGACGACTGCGTTCATTTACCAAATAAAGACGACGATCACGAACAATCTTTAAGGAAAAATTTTTTTTGAAACATACGAATCATAAAAGGGAAAAGGGCAAAACTTCAATTTCCGAAAATCAGTCCAAATTAAATTCCGGCTGACAAAACTCCGTCGAACCAAAAAAATTTTTCATGGTATACGGCCACGATTAACCTAAAATCTAAGCCAGCCGAAATACACCAACCAATTGAAAATGCAAATTTTTCTCTGAGAAAGATTTGGTAAGTCGGTTTTTGATAAGACGGAGTTTTATCAGTCGAAGTCTTGTCTCGTCGAAGTTGCCCTGAGTATTATAAAACACATCTCCAAAATCTTCCGTAAAACACTCAACAACACATAAAAACTAAAAATACCTTCAAATATCCAAGCAAAACATTTTTTGGAGTAGTTCCATTTTGTGAAACAGCCAACAAATCTTCATGACCACCATTTTTAATCTCTCCATTCTTTTCTCCATTAGCAACAGTTCCATCACCAATTTCCCCACATCCATTTATTTTTTCGTCTTTCCAGAGAAGATAAAGTGCCTGTTCATCCTGAGCATCCAAAAAACGCTCAAATGTCGTGACAGGCTTTTTAATCGATTGGGCCTTTAAAAGTAATTAATTTCAAAAATTTTAAACTTCAAAAAAACCTCAGCAGACAACTTTGCCAAATCATCAATTGCACGACTCAAAAGCAAAAATTCAGATTGTTGTCGCGCTTTTCGTGCCCACTGAATTTTGGAATTTTCGAGTTTAGAAAGTGGTGACTTCAAAACACATCCAGGAATTGACAAGGAGCTCAAATCAAAATTAAGTTCCATTTTTGTGTTGAGTTAATAATTGAATGAATTCTTTAAAAAATAATGTAAAAATGCTTTAAAAAATTTTTTTATTGTTTAAAGTGCAAAACTATTCAACTAGCTAAAAAGGAAAAACAATGAACGATAAAAATGCCATCACAAAAACTAAAAAAAGAGAGGGAAAACCCATAGCGTGCCACTCTCTAAAAAAACTAGCCGCTATACAAAAAGGAAAAGAAACACTGGAAATACTGGTAGGACACAGCACTTTTTTAGTTTTTGTTTGGAAAGAAAGAAAATGCCTGCATTTTATAAAGGCGGGGAAAATTCCTAAAAACTAAAAGAGTATTAAATGCTTAAAAAAGACGTGGAGATTGTTTGTTTATTAGACTGAACTTTAACACGCAAAGGCTTTGGTTAAAGCAGAAATCTCGCAATTTTTATGGAACAATGGACGGAAATTCGAAAAATTAAATCCATCCGGATAAAAGTCTAACTAACGCCGCGCAAAATTTAAACGGTAAAATAACGCTCACATTTGTTTTTATGCCTCGCATCTCTCGTTTTTCCATACTCTTTTTCGACAAAAAATTTTTTCACTAAGGCCGTTTTATCGCCATTTTCGTCGAAAATTTTTAAACTACAGCCGTTTTATCGCCAATTTTTGTCATTTGCTGGATTTCATGCGAATTAAAAAGTAAAAATCGCGAATTTATTTTTCACCCTTTTCGGAAAAAAACAAAAATATGTTTACGTTTATTGACAACCTATGACGATGGTATTGTCACTTTTATTAAAAAGATGGTCCCTCCCTTGTCTTTTTCCTTATTTTTAGAGAGGAAGAGGTGTTCCTTTTTTGTTACACCCAAAGGAGATTTTTTTAAAAAAATATATTGAGTGAAACAACAAATTGGGTGCACTTATTTTATACAATTTTACTCTAAAATAATCTAAGGGAGCATTTACCAGCTTAAAAGTCAACACGGAAAGAGGGAAATAGGGAAAAATGTCTGCAGAGCTGAGGATTAAAAAGGGTTTAAAAATATTTGTTTCGCTTTTTTACGAAAAAACATGGAGTCGACCAATGACCAAACACTAAAATTTTCCTTAATAACCTAGAGGTCAGGAAAACAACGATCTGGTCAATCATTGTCGGCGGACGATCAGCCGAACCGGAGCAGAAAACCAGAGGGGAGGGGGCAAACCAGGCCTGAAAACCTTGGGAGTACTGGTTAATATCCTGTCGCCAACAATTTTAGAAAAAATATAAAAATAAACCGGGATCTAATTTCCCATTTGACAGAAAATGAAAACAATTTTCACTTGGCTTTTACTATTATTTAGCCCATTTTGACCACTATATATCTACCCAAAATCCCCTCCTTCCCTTAAAAGCACACCTAAACAAATATATAAATTACCTACCAATATCAGTCAAAAAGCGCAAATAAAATCCAAAATTAGATAGTACAAAATATCTTGTTTTGAATAACATAAAAATCCTCTAAAACAGACTAAAAAAGGATTATATACGAAAATATTACAACAAGATAATATAAAAATATTGTGAAAATTTAACAAATTTAAATTTTTTAATATTCACAAAAATAAATTTAAAAAATAATTTACAAAACGAAAAACAAACAGAAAAAAAATAAACAAAATATTTGTCATAATTAGTGTTCAGAACCTGACCGGGTCCAATCGAATTTTTTTCAGAGATCGTGTCCTAAATTAGGGCAGTTCGTGGCCTGTTAACCGCCCGGTTAGCTTTTCCTTGTTCCGGGTCTTTCTTTCTCTTTTCTATTCTCTCTTCTCTTTTTGCCCAGCTGCAGGGCAAAGTTAACCGGGCGGGGTTAACCTGCCAAGAACTATCCTATCCCAAATCCGTGTTTTTTCGTGATCTCTAGACTATTTCCAGACCGGATTAACCCAGAAATATCCGATCCGGTTATATTGCCAAACAAGGAACCCGAAACCAACTCGAAAAAAACCATTTGCCGAACACTTATTCTAATTAAAATAAACTAAAGTCTTTAAAAAACTAACTTTCAAATTTTATTTCCCTTCTTTTACAAATTTACATTTTGCTTCAAGCAATTTCTTTCCTCTCGCTTCTTTAACAGCCAAATTCATTGCTTCAAACCATTCAACAAGTCGTTTGTCATATTGACACATTTCAGAAAATGCAATACAGCCATAAAAGGAATTACAAGCCCCAAAAAGTGCCAAATCAGCTTTGAATTTAAACAAAAATAAGAAAATTATAAATTTAAAAAAATACCCAAATTAGGCTGTTCACCTCCCATAAATTTCCTTTCTGGTCCTTTTGCTTTCATAAATTTGTCAAAAGCTTTCCGCATCTCCTCGCGTTCGTCAACAATATGATGCCTATAATTTATTGACTTTGGATACCTCGTAAATTTTAAAAAGGATTTTTTAAAAGAAATCTACTCCCAAACCCGTGTCAGGTAAACCTTTTTAAAATTTACGAGGTATCCAAAGTCAATAAATTATAGGCATCATATTGTTGACGAACGCGAGGAGATGCGGAAAGCTTTTGACAAATTTATGAAAGCAAAAGGACCAGAAAGGAAATTTATGGGAGGTGAACAGCCTAATTTGGGTATTTTTTTAAATTTATAATTTTCTTATTTTTGTTTAAATTCAAAGCTGATTTGGCACTTTTTGGGGCTTGTAATTCCTTTTATGGCTGTATTGCATTTTCTGAAATGTGTCAATATGACAAACGACTTGTTGAATGGTTTGAAGCAATGAATTTGGCTGTTAAAGAAGCGAGAGGAAAGAAATTGCTTGAAGCAAAATGTAAATTTGTAAAAGAAGGGAAATAAAATTTGAAAGTTAGTTTTTTAAAGACTTTAGTTTATTTTAATTAGAATAAGTGTTCGGCAAATGGTTTTTTTCGAGTTGGTTTCGGGTTCCTTGTTTGGCAATATAACCGGATCGGATATTTCTGGGTTAATCCGGTCTGGAAATAGTCTAGAGATCACGAAAAAACACGGATTTGGGATAGGATAGTTCTTGGCAGGTTAACCCCGCCCGGTTAACTTTGCCCTGCAGCTGGGCAAAAAGAGAAGAGAGAATAGAAAAGAGAAAGAAAGACCCGGAACAAGGAAAAGCTAACCGGGCGGTTAACAGGCCACGAACTGCCCTAATTTAGGACACGATCTCTGAAAAAAATTCGATTGGACCCGGTCAGGTTCTGAACACTAATTATGACAAATATTTTGTTTATTTTTTTTCTGTTTGTTTTTCGTTTTGTAAATTATTTTTTAAATTTATTTTTGTGAATATTAAAAAATTTAAATTTGTTAAATTTTCACAATATTTTTATATTATCTTGTTGTAATATTTTCGTATATAATCCTTTTTTAGTCTGTTTTAGAGGATTTTTATGTTATTCAAAACAAGATATTTTGTACTATCTAATTTTGGATTTTATTTGCGCTTTTTGACTGATATTGGTAGGTAATTTATATATTTGTTTAGGTGTGCTTTTAAGGGAAGGAGGGGATTTTGGGTAGATATATAGTGGTCAAAATGGGCTAAATAATAGTAAAAGCCAAGTGAAAATTGTTTTCATTTTCTGTCAAATGGGAAATTAGATCCCGGTTTATTTTTATATTTTTTCTAAAATTGTTGGCGACAGGATATTAACCAGTACTCCCAAGGTTTTCAGGCCTGGTTTGCCCCCTCCCCTCTGGTTTTCTGCTCCGGTTCGGCTGATCGTCCGCCGACAATGATTGACCAGATCGTTGTTTTCCTGACCTCTAGGTTATTAAGGAAAATTTTAGTGTTTGGTCATTGGTCGACTCCATGTTTTTTCGTAAAAAAGCGAAACAAATATTTTTAAACCCTTTTTAATCCTCAGCTCTGCAGACATTTTTCCCTATTTCCCTCTTTCCGTGTTGACTTTTAAGCTGGTAAATGCTCCCTTAGATTATTTTAGAGTAAAATTGTATAAAATAAGTGCACCCAATTTGTTGTTTCACTCAATATATTTTTTTAAAAAAATCTCCTTTGGGTGTAACAAAAAAGGAACACCTCTTCCTCTCTAAAAATAAGGAAAAAGACAAGGGAGGGACCATCTTTTTAATAAAAGTGACAATACCATCGTCATAGGTTGTCAATAAACGTAAACATATTTTTGTTTTTTTCCGAAAAGGGTGAAAAATAAATTCGCGATTTTTACTTTTTAATTCGCATGAAATCCAGCAAATGACAAAAATTGGCGATAAAACGGCTGTAGTTTAAAAATTTTCGACGAAAATGGCGATAAAACGGCCTTAGTGAAAAAATTTTTTGTCGAAAAAGAGTATGGAAAAACGAGAGATGCGAGGCATAAAAACAAATGTGAGCGTTATTTTACCGTTTAAATTTTGCGCGGCGTTAGTTAGACTTTTATCCGGATGGATTTAATTTTTCGAATTTCCGTCCATTGTTCCATAAAAATTGCGAGATTTCTGCTTTAACCAAAGCCTTTGCGTGTTAAAGTTCAGTCTAATAAACAAACAATCTCCACGTCTTTTTTAAGCATTTAATACTCTTTTAGTTTTTAGGAATTTTCCCCGCCTTTATAAAATGCAGGCATTTTCTTTCTTTCCAAACAAAAACTAAAAAAGTGCTGTGTCCTACCAGTATTTCCAGTGTTTCTTTTCCTTTTTGTATAGCGGCTAGTTTTTTTAGAGAGTGGCACGCTATGGGTTTTCCCTCTCTTTTTTTAGTTTTTGTGATGGCATTTTTATCGTTCATTGTTTTTCCTTTTTAGCTAGTTGAATAGTTTTGCACTTTAAACAATAAAAAAATTTTTTAAAGCATTTTTACATTATTTTTTAAAGAATTCATTCAATTATTAACTCAACACAAAAATGGAACTTAATTTTGATTTGAGCTCCTTGTCAATTCCTGGATGTGTTTTGAAGTCACCACTTTCTAAACTCGAAAATTCCAAAATTCAGTGGGCACGAAAAGCGCGACAACAATCTGAATTTTTGCTTTTGAGTCGTGCAATTGATGATTTGGCAAAGTTGTCTGCTGAGGTTTTTTTGAAGTTTAAAATTTTTGAAATTAATTACTTTTAAAGGCCCAATCGATTAAAAAGCCTGTCACGACATTTGAGCGTTTTTTGGATGCTCAGGATGAACAGGCACTTTATCTTCTCTGGAAAGACGAAAAAATAAATGGATGTGGGGAAATTGGTGATGGAACTGTTGCTAATGGAGAAAAGAATGGAGAGATTAAAAATGGTGGTCATGAAGATTTGTTGGCTGTTTCACAAAATGGAACTACTCCAAAAAATGTTTTGCTTGGATATTTGAAGGTATTTTTAGTTTTTATGTGTTGTTGAGTGTTTTACGGAAGATTTTGGAGATGTGTTTTATAATACTCAGGGCAACTTCGACGAGACAAGACTTCGACTGATAAAACTCCGTCTTATCAAAAACCGACTTACCAAATCTTTCTCAGAGAAAAATTTGCATTTTCAATTGGTTGGTGTATTTCGGCTGGCTTAGATTTTAGGTTAATCGTGGCCGTATACCATGAAAAATTTTTTTGGTTCGACGGAGTTTTGTCAGCCGGAATTTAATTTGGACTGATTTTCGGAAATTGAAGTTTTGCCCTTTTCCCTTTTATGATTCGTATGTTTCAAAAAAAATTTTTCCTTAAAGATTGTTCGTGATCGTCGTCTTTATTTGGTAAATGAACGCAGTCGTCGTTATGTTCACACGCCTATTTGTGTTTTGGATTTTTACATTCATTCTTCTGTTCAGCATCACGGTTGTGGACTTGAATTGTTTAATGGAATGTTGAAGGTTTTCTAAAAAAAATTTTAGTATTTTTTCATAAATTATTTTTACAGTCAGAGTCAACAACACCGCAGAAATGTGCATTTGACAAGCCATCATCTTCATTACTTCACTTTTTGGAGAAGCATTATGGTCTTAAACACCCAATTTGGCAACCAACAACTTTTGTTGTTTTTCCTGAATTTTTTGAAGGATTAAAGCCAGAAGATGGAGGAAAGGATGAAATAATTGACGATGTCATAATTAGTGTTCAGAACCTGACCGGGTCCAATCGAATTTTTTTCAGAGATCGTGTCCTAAATTAGGGCAGTTCGTGGCCTGTTAACCGCCCGGTTAGCTTTTCCTTGTTCCGGGTCTTTCTTTCTCTTTTCTATTCTCTCTTCTCTTTTTGCCCAGCTGCAGGGCAAAGTTAACCGGGCGGGGTTAACCTGCCAAGAACTATCCTATCCCAAATCCGTGTTTTTTCGTGATCTCTAGACTATTTCCAGACCGGATTAACCCAGAAATATCCGATCCGGTTATATTGCCAAACAAGGAACCCGAAACCAACTCGAAAAAAACCATTTGCCGAACACTTATTCTAATTAAAATAAACTAAAGTCTTTAAAAAACTAACTTTCAAAATTTTATTTCCCTTCTTTTACAAATTTACATTTTGCTTCAAGCAATTTCTTTCCTCTCGCTTCTTTAACAGCCAAATTCATTGCTTCAAACCATTCAACAAGTCGTTTGTCATATTGACACATTTCAGAAAATGCAATACAGCCATAAAAGGAATTACAAGCCCCAAAAAGTGCCAAATCAGCTTTGAATTTAAACAAAAATAAGAAAATTATAAATTTAAAAAAATACCCAAATTAGGCTGTTCACCTCCCATAAATTTCCTTTCTGGTCCTTTTGCTTTCATAAATTTGTCAAAAGCTTTCCGCATCTCCTCGCGTTCGTCAACAATATGATGCCTATAATTTATTGACTTTGGATACCTCGTAAATTTTAAAAAGGATTTTTTAAAAGAAATCTACTCCCAAACCCGTGTCAGGTAAACCTAAAATCCCCGCCGCCCGAACACCGCCCAAAGAAAAAATAATGCGTTTCAATAGGTTGGGGCTATTTTGGCGTGAAGGATGTTTTTGATTTTTTACAGAGGGTTGTGTTTCCAACTACAAGGAAGGTTATTCCATTGAGGACAATGTTCCCCATTATTGGAAAAACTTTTCTCACATCAGTGTTGAACAATCCTTCTGGAACAAAACAAACAATCCTTGGGTTGAGGTTTTGTCTGGACAGTGTTTTTGGAAGTCGGGGGTTTTGTCCCTCACCCCTCAAAAAATAGTCAAAGAACAAACCGCTTTTTCAATCTCTTCGAAATCCCCCACATTGCTGCAGCACCTACATAAACAGCCAAAACTCTCTCCCACGTTGGAAAATTGCGTTCCCATTCACCAACCTGTTCAAACCAACGAAATGTTGCCAATGAATCGGACCAAGTGCGATAAACATTTGGAGAGATTAAATGAACAAAATGAGTGTCGACCCATTCGCGCCATTCACGTTCGTCTCTATAAAACAATTTGGAAAAATTCCGTCATATCCCAATTTCGTGAAAGTATGTGAAATTCGTGAGAGTTCGATGACACCAATTTTTATTTTGGTCGATGACACCAAAATAAAGATCCAGCCTCAATTTTAATGCCGAATATGGTCTCATAATGGTCAAAAATGAAACGAGAGACTGAGCTGATTTTAGGGTCAAATAGGTCGGTTCCAAGGGCGTATCCAGGGGGTCGGTTTCGGGGGGGGGGGGGCTAACACTGGGTGGGCGCAAAAATTTTTGGCGTTTACCTTGCGTTCCTACGGCAAATTTTTTTGTACATAACTTTTTATATTTTAAGCGCCGCAGGCGAAAATTTTTTTAATTCCCCCCCCCCTGGATACGCCCTTGGTCGGTTCGGATAAAAGTCCCCATTTCGAAGGACGTTTGCCCAAACCTATTTCTGGGGCATGTGTATGACGAAATTTTACCAACCAATTTTAAATTTCAAGAATATTTTCAAAAATAACCTAACATCCCGCATTTGTCCATCATCAAGTTTTGTATCGCCCCACATAACAAAATATTTATTTAACCAGTCAGTCACTTCCTTTCCAGTCTTTGCATCTTTTGAAACATGCTTGGGATAGAGTTCAACCGCATCAGAAAATGTCAACTAAAAACAACAACAAATTTTGAATAAAATTTGTATAAAATAAAACCTCAGGTTTAACTAGATAAGTCGCCAAAATTGAAATTATTAAAGAAGATTCGATAAGCGGATGATCATAACAAGGCGTTCGAACAATAGGAACCTGAAAATAAAATTTAAAAAATTAGTGTTCTTTATTTGAGCCACCAAAGGGAAAGATTGCTCGTACAGCAACAACCCTAGATTTTGCATTAAAATGTCAAAAATTATTTTATGGGAAAAAAAAAGAAATTTTATAAAAGCATCATCAGAGTAACTATGACTATGTCAGTGCTCACTTGTTCTCGAAAGAACATCGGATAGCGCTACATTCATCATTTGATGCAACAAAATGATTAAAGATTATCAATGGAACACGGAGTCATTGAAACCTTCATAGGCAGCTCAAATTTAGACCACTTAACCAAACAGAGACAATAAAAGGAAAGAAGAAAATTGAGTTAACTGTTAAAAGGTTAAAGTCTCTCAACCCCAGACTTTTTCTAGTGGACCAGGGTCGGACTGATCCCGACGGATTTTCTAGAGACCGTATCAACCCAGAAAGATAAATTCCACCGGAATCACTTTCCCCCGACTTTCACCCTATCAAAATTCAAAAACAAACCTTTTTATAATCAGTAAAGTTAATTTGCGAACGAGTCACAGGGTTCACTTCCACAACCTCATAAGAAAATCCAAAGTAGTCAAGAACAGCACGGACCTTACAACAATACGGGCATGTCTGATATTGATATAAACGAAGACTCAGGCCACTTTTATCGACATTTGAAACAATCTAAATTTTCTTTAAAAATAATTTTATTAAATTTAAAAAAACCTTTCGAGACAACTTTACAGCCTGTTCCTCATTTTGTTGTTGTAAATTAACAAAACTAAGACTTTTGTATCTAGCACAAAGAAAACTTGCGCAAGCAAAAGAACGCATACTAGCGAAAAGTCGCATTTTTTTATAAATTGGAAAACTAACAAATCCCTGTAAAAACAATTAATTTAGACGAATTTAAGCAAGAAAATAAACAACGCGGAGGATTACTTGGAGTAAAAGAATTTTCCATTAAAAGCAACATTCAAATATTTTTATTTTTCTTCGTTTCAATTTTGTAAAAACATTTAAATTGTGGAAGGATAAACTATATAAATTTAACAAAAAAAAATACATTGCGATTGGAAATTTCAAAATATTACAATTGTCTTTGCAAGAATAGTAGTATATGAAATGCAAAAAAAAACTAGAAGAATACAATGCTTGTGATACAATACAATTTCAATCTCTCAATTGGAAAACAGAGATGTTAGTATGCAGTGCGCGACGCCTGCCCAGACCCGGCCGGATAGTTCCTACGTCAGTGTCCCAAATCCAAAAATCCAGTCCCAAATCCAATTTTCCAAATCCCAAGTCCCAATTTTTTTTCCAATTCACAAAACATTCGATCACCGGAATGTTTCCGGATCGGGTCAATCCAGATAACCCGGATTCGGTCCCGTTCTCCGGATTAATCCAGATCCTTTCCGGCTCTTATCGAATTTGCCGCGCACCAACAGAATGTACCCCGATAAAAACAGAAAACATTCTCAACGTGAACGTGATTTTTTGTCAAAAACAAAAGGAAGGCGAGTAAAAAACAATATGAAATCAATGGTGAGCTGCTCAACATTAAATGATTTTTAAGAGAAAATAAGGCAAAAATAAAATAAAAAAAGAATGTGAAATCTTTTTTTAGAGAAAATTAAATTTGTTAAAAATAATTTCATAATTTATCCCTCAGAAGAAAAAAAAATACATATTTTTTTTTAATTTTAAATAAACAAAAAAATTTTTTTGTCTTGTTAAAAATAAATTTATTTAATCAACAAGACGTTTACAATAAAATATAGAGCAAAATAAATATTTTTATATATGTATATGGAAAAAATGGAGAGGAAAAACACACAAAAAAAAATAATTTTTTTATATAATTAGGGCCAAGGTATGCAAAAAAAAATGAAGGAAAAAAATATATATTAAAAATAAATATATTTATATATATAAGGTTTAAATAGAATGATATATATTTTTATGGTGGTGGATTTTGGATATATTGATGAAAATAAATGACAAAATTCTGTTATGTGCATAAGCGAAAAAGAAGAAAAAATATATAATTAACAAGATAAATAGGCCCTAGTTTAGGGCATGCGTACCATGAGCTTTTTGTGGCCCATGAGATAATTTTAAGCATCCACAGCAGAGTATATGTGATCCCTAAAATATTAGTAAGTGCTGATAGTCCAGTAAGATCGCATTCGCGGGATCCAGACGATTAATCATATAATCAGTTCGTTGCATAAAACCTGGGATCCCTGGATAAACTTCTGAAATCCCATGCGGAATCACGGATCCTGTCTTTTTCCGACACCTAGTAAAGTATATGCTGATGGGATGCGTAAACGCTAATAGGAATCTTGAACGATCATGAGACCCATAAAAGCTTCTAGAGGTCGAATGCCCTAAAATAGAACCCCGAAAAATATACGAGAATACATAATTTGTATATTATTTTGCCAAATTAAAATAAATATATATTTGCGTAGTTGTTTGTTTTGCGCATATTACAAATTGAAATTTTTCTCTTTTTTGTTGCTGTGTGTGATGCCCCTGAAAATTGTCAATCTTTGTGTGTTTGTTTGTTAACTTTTTCACTTTCATACACAAGTTGCTGCAAAAAAAATTTTTTTAATCAGTCACATCTCACCATCATTTTTTTCCTCTTTTTTTAATATATTGGCGGTCCATTCTCAAAATTATTATTATTATTAGAAACAGCTGTGTTGACTGATGTATTGGAAAATTGTTGTTGTGGTGATTGTTCTCCAGATATTAAACTAAATGGAACACCAGGATTCGTCTTTTGAAAATATTTCTCCAATTTGGCTTAAAAAAAGAAGAAGAGTTAATCAAATCATCAAATTACTCATGCTTACCGATAATGTGCTTTCCATAATTAAATTTTCTCAAAGCAGGAATGTGACTTTTGATGGAAAACATAATTTTCTTTCGATGTGCACTATCTGAAACATCAAGCATCTTTTGGACCACATAATTTGCAAATGGATCCTTCATCATTTCAAGAAGTTGTGGATTTGGAGCTCCATCACTTTAAGAAAAAAATTCTTTTATAAAAATAAAAGTGTGCTCGTGTAGTTCAGTTGTTTAATGCCAGACCCTGTGGAGCAAGGTTGAGGTTCGACTCAACCTTCAGGCACACGTTTATTTTTGGCCCCTGCTGTGGTGTAGTGGTTAACACACCCGAGTTACACTTAACGAAAGACTCACAATCAGGTTCGAAGCCTGACAGCAGTTATTGGGTGTGTTAGTCGTCCATGTATGGCACTTAAACAAATGACACACCCCCGAGTGGGGATTAGCTTTTTTAAAAATCCCGAGGCCTATTAAGATTGGCGGTTCCTGGGAAATCTTCAGTTATCCGGAACCAAAAATCGAACCGAGAAATCCTGTTTATTTTCGGCTCAACAAAACAGAGAACAGCCAACCTTAAGACTAACCAGTAAGTAAAAATCCTTAACAACTCCCCTGAGTGCATAAATAACTTTTTGTGGTTGATTCAAAAAATTAAAAAAAAACTCACTCATTACAAACTTCATCAATCAAAATATTTTTCTGTTCAGTTGTTCCACAAATTAAACATTTTTCAATTACATTAGAAGCAAATTTATGTTGAGCATATTTGAGTACATCACCACGTAAACACTTTACAATACGTTCTCGATCCAAAGAAATTCCATGTTCAATAACGTGTTGAATTACGTAATTGCCATATTGATCTGTTACAAGTGTAAAGATGTTTTCGTGTAATTGCTCAAGAACTGGTCTAGAAAAGAATATTTTTAAAATTAAAAAATAAATTAAAAAAAAACCTCTTTTGTTCTTCTGTACAATGTTCAAGAACGCGTTGAATAACACGACATCCATAAGGATGAGAAGAAAGCGAACAGACCTTAAAAATGACCAAAATTGTTTAAAAGTAAAATAAAACAAACAGTGTCAGGTGCTCCTTTAGTAAACGCATCAATGATGAATTGAAGTTGTTGAGGCTCCACTCTCTCAATGATCTATACAAAATTAAAAAAATTTAAACGGTGCAAAGGGTACATCATACATATCTTAAAAAGCCAAAACCAAGAAGGTTTTGGTCAAATTACTCACATAAGAGGGTAAAAACCAAATATTAGAGCGGATAAAGGGACTAGGGATCAAGCTATGGCCTGCTTACATTCACTTAACAGAGAGCTGACTTGTGGAAAAGGAGTCTGGGTTGATCCCGTGTTAATAGTTCTCAATAAATTCAAAAAATTTACCTTTTGCACCACATGGTTTCCATTTTGATCCTTAACACATTTAAGCACATGATTGCTAATTTCTTTTATAACTTCCATTTGACAGTCCTGATCAACTGATTCCAAAGCTTTTTGAATCACTCGACATCCATACATTTGTAAAGCAAGATTCATAACATTTCCTTGGACTATTTGCATCAATTTGCGTTTTTGTTCATCAGTGCCGTATTCAAAGAATTTCTAGAAAAAAAAATAATTTTTATAAAATATTTTTAGAAAGAAACCTGAATGACATAATTACCAAAAACATCAGTCATCAAGTGCAAAGCGTGTTGATATACTTCATCGAAAATAAATTGTTTTTCTTTAGCATTTGCTCTTTCAAGCCTTTGTTGAATAAAACTAGAAATTAAAAAATAAGCTAATTAATCCAAAAAATAAAAAAACCGTGATCCGTGTTGATCCTGAGCAAATTCCACTACATACACACCCAAATCCATAAGTTGCAAATGAGGCAATCGACTATTTCGAAAATCATCCAAAAGTTGAGAACGATGAGCAGCAACATTTCCACCTCTAGAGTGTTGTATCTCTTCGTTACCATGAAGAGAATTGGTGTGAAGAGTGTTAAGAGGAACGCGAGTACCTAAAAAGAAGCACAATCAGGAAGCTATTAGCCTTAAAGTGAACCTGGTGTCCTGTTTGGACGAAAATTTGAAGAAGCACGATCAGAAAGTGTCTGTACAAGAGGAACACGGCCGCCAACTATTTAAAGAAAATTACTGACTAATTTTTAAATAAAAATAACCTGGAGGCAATATTGTCCCATTGTGATGATGATGGTGTGGCGGAGGCGCTGCTTGAGGTGGTGGTGGATAACCCCAAGAACTATAACCATAATTTGGCGGTGTTGAACCAAGAATAGTCGCCGCATTTTGTCTTGTTGCATAAAGTATTGGAGTACCTGGTTGTCCAGGAACCATAAAAGGATACTAAAAAAATTTTTGAACAAAAATGTTTTTCGTGTAAATGAGTCAAACCTGACTAAATTCTGGAGTTCCAATCATGTGACATCCACCACCCATATCAGGACCACCAACTCCAGAATAATTATTTTGAATTGGGACAGGCTGTGAATGAACTTGAGCCATTTGAGAAGATGAAACCATTGTTGATGTTGTTGAAGGGTGATTCCTAATAAAATGAACATTTTTTGTGCTGTTCTTATTTTAAATTAGTAATTGACGATAATATACCAAGCATATTTAAAAAATTTTTAAACGGAATTGCTAAAGCTTGGTATAAATATCGGAAAAACAAATTTAAAGTTTAAAAAAATATAAAAACCTCATATCAACAGTTGCCAGCTTTGAAGGCTTATCATTAATAGAAATTCCACCCTAAAAATATAATTGATAAAATCAATACAAAATTCAAAAAGACATACAAATTTAGCATTCAGACTTCCAGGTGACGATGACAGCACATTTTCAAGCATTTGATGACATAAACCAGATTGTTCTCCAGATTTTGGTGAAACCATCATTGCACCATAATGAGGGCCGCGTGCTTGTACCATGATTGGATTGCTTACAGCGTGTTCTAAAAAATATTCTTTTTTGATAAAGTATAAAACAAACCTGTGT